AGGGAGAGCGAGTCCCCCACCCGTGGGGCACAGTTAAAAAAAAAAAAGGAAAGAAATCCTAAACGGCTCTTTTTGTTTTAGCAGGAGAAGGAAACGCCCTGCTTCGGCACAGCTTCGCGGCGGCACCGGGCTGAGGACCCCACCCAGGCGGGATGCGGTGTTGTGTCCCCCCCGCCCCGGGCTGAGGAGGAGCCCTTCAGCCCTTCCCTAGCGGGGATGGGGCCTAGCGCGGGAGCGGCGGGTTTTGGCCTCCTCTTCTCCCTGACACCGTTCGCCTGGCCCCGGGTTAGGAAAGAAAAACCCCCTGAAGCGGTTCTCTCCCGCCAGCAGCCAGGGAAGGAGGAGAGCAGTGGGCTGGGGACCAGCAAAGCGAAGAAAGCCCCACCACCACCACCACCAGTGCGTTTCCACAGTGATTAATTTCATCCTGTCCACCCAGAAAGCAGCTTTGTTGGTGGGGCAGGGAGAAGAAGTGACAGTTTGAGCCCCATCGGTGTCACAGAGTCCCAGAACGATAATGGGGTTAGAAGGGATCTCTGCAGATCATCTAGTACAACCCTCTGGCAAAGAGGGTCCACCTAGAGCAGGTTGCATGGGAAAATGGAGAAAATATGGAATGGAGAGGTTTCTCTGGAACAGGTCCTTTGAGGCAACTGGCTGCAGAAAGCTGTGATGAGTTTCTCCTTCTTGTACTGTGTACGCTTGCGGTTCTCCAGGCGACAGTCCTTGCTCCTCAGACGAGGTTTAGAGTATCTGCTCTGGCTGCTTTTCCATGTACCACATGGAAGAGGCAAGGCTGCAACACTGTGAGGGTGCTGGGCTGTGCCAGGTGCTTTTAGCTAATCCGGATAATAAATACTGTGGCCATCACAAAACTTCCTGGGCAGAACTGGCTCCAGATGAAAACTGTTCAACAAATCACCAGCTAAGAAAAAAAATCCCAAACCAACGCAATGGAAAACCCAACGCCTCTATTTTAGAAGACAATAATACATTTTTAAAATATGTTTCACTATCTGGATCTAATGGAAATACTTTTTAATGAGAATAATCTTTTAATTGGGGAAAAAATACTTTTGTGACTTTTAAAACAAGTTTCCACTTGACAAGTAAAAAAAGTGTTATGACTTCTCAAGGTTTTACACATACCTTAAGATGGAGTTGTGCTTTTGCCCTAAACAGTAAATGTAACTGCCAAGTCTGCACTCACATTAAACCACACAGCTGATAACTGTGACACAAATACCAGAGAAAAAAGAACACCTTTTTTGAACCCTCCACCATCAAGCACAATGTCATGTTGTGTTTTGTTTTTTAAATTGAAAAAAAAAATCCAAAAACCTCTAAGGATAAACGCATCGCTAACATGCAATGGAATCCGGTGCAGAGTTAGAACAGTTAAGAGGTCTGTACGGAGAAGCATTTCAAATCATCAGCTTCTTTTTACCAGACACTTCACAAAGTTTCACTCAGTGTTTCAGATTAGTTGTACAAATCAGTTTTGTGAAAGGACCAATGGCATTAATAATAAACAGTCAGTGCATACTGGTAATAAGTAGCGCGCAACACTTTACAGAAAAGACAGTATTAGGCCTAGAGCAAAATCGTCCGTTGTTCCTGGGCGATACAGGAGCCCGCTGTGTTTCCAGAAGGGTACTTTGCAGCCCACACTCCTAAGGCCGTTTCAAAATTTTACCCGTGTCGTTCCTGTAACGAATCAGGCCATTTTATTTTCGCTGATACAGTGGTTATGATCGTCTATGGCTGTCAGTGCAGGTACAAAGAGAGTGCATGGTTGAAAAAAGCAAGATCTCAAGCAGTCCGTAAATGTAGTTGTAAGGTTGTAACTTAGCTGGTAAGAAAAGTCTCCTCCCTTGATGACAGTGCAGATTCTCTTCCATCTCGATACCACAAGAAGTTATACTTGACACAACCGTTTCTCCACGGTGGACAGCGCTGGGTAGTGGTAGTTGGTATTAGGTCAGCTCTAATAGTTTATCCTCCAAGCTCACATGTTAAAGAAAATCTCCTAAGATGTCCTGATAAGTGGGGACCTTTCATCTTCAGTACTCTGAATTAAAAAAAAAACCACAACACAGCAAAGTTAAATGTGGCACATTAGAGAGCTTCCACGGTGGGGAAGCTGGATTGCTGAGAATCCAAATAGGAAAGGAAAAAGCTCTTGGCTCCTACTTCTAAGGACAATTTCCTGTAAGAGAACCAGCACTGCACTAAAAAAGCGTCAGAGGGTGGATGGCAGCTTAGGCAGGGACCTTGGGCTCACTGTAGCACCTTACAGATGATGGCAGGCCATGACCACGCTGGTGGAAGGGGGATCCCAAGGGAAGCTATAACTACCTGAATTACTTCTGTTTGCAGGAAAAGCAACAAGAGCAATGTAGAGAAAACATGGAATTTAGGTGTCCCTTTGTCATTTTAATCCATGTGCAGTGTTCAAGAACACCCAGGAGAGCTGGTATGAAGCTATACACATAGAGTGGGGCAGGAATGCCCTGGAACAGGGGCCCGAGGGAATGGGACAGTTTTGACTTTCTAGCTGAGCCTGCCAGTAACACAGGGAGCTCAAAAGCTTAAAGGAACCCAAAGTACAGTCCTGAGAGCATCTGCTCATGAAACGCTTCCTGGGTACACAGAGAGAAAATCAAGAATAGAGAGAATCAAGAGAGCTAAACATCAGCTGCTCAAAGCCACTGCTCGAGGAAAGGAAGTTGCAGACCACACTGCCAAGGTGCCACCACTGCTGCCACTACCATCACACCCCTAAGTCTTGCTGGAGATGCAATGGTAGGGACCCAGATGGGTCCCACTGCCTAAGACAAAGCATAGGCACGGTGTGGCTGGGTGCTCTGGAGAGAGGCGTGAGGGCACTATCTAACAATAGTGTGAGAAAGCATTTAGGAAACAACATACAAGCAAGGCCACACTAAGACCACAGCAACTGCAAGGAGAAAACAGCCTCCTAGAGTACCCAGTCTATTTCTCTAGCCAAAGGGTCCATAGTTTCTCTCATCTGAACTCGACTGCCTTGCCTATTAGAATGAAATTTTGGATCAGCTTTCAATGTGACTAGCAACATTAATGCCAGCATGTCGTTTTGTGACAGAACTTTTCATAAATAGATGTACAAGCTAGTGCTGTCTGGATAAAACTTTCTGCATGCTGTTGTCTGTAAAATTCATCTGTTCTTTAGTCATCAATTTGCATGAGGATTCTGAAAAATAATCAACTGGCACAACACAATTGTTTCTACTACGAACACTGTCAGATTGTCACTGACTCAATCTGTCCATCAAATATGGTGAAATTTTTGCATCTTATCCTTCAGGGTCCTCTAGACAGGCTGATTTTACTTTTTTTTAAACTACTGTTGGCAAGGTAATTAGGCACAGAAGATACGACCTGCCTTACCATCTTTCTTATATTAGCTCCATTCCTTTGTTTGGTGCATTTATTCTGAGTCTATTAAAACATCCCTTCCCTAGAAAGGTCATTTTAAACAAAAAACAACATATAAAAATGTTTGTGTACAGAAAGTCAGTGAATAGGTAAAATCAATGAAAAGAAAATCACATCCAGGCAGACATACAGTAAGCAAGGTTAAATTCAAATGTTACTTACCTCTTCACTTGTTCCCCGGGACCTGCACACAAGCACAATAAACACAATCCCAAAAACAATTCCTAGAGTCATGATTACGAAGGGGATTCCAGTTACAACATTGGCTTCCAGCAGGACGTGCTTGAGTTTGCTGGCAGATACTTCATCAATCAGAACACTCTGGAGCAGAGAAAGAGATGAAGAGAAAAATAAGATTTATTTCTGCTCTTCCTTTATATTAGACTGCTTTATTTTTGTGAAGGGTACGGAAACAAGACTCCCACAACTCTCCACCTCTGCTTCATTGCTTCTTGATGTACCTTCCCTCTAAGAATTCTTAGCTCTCCTCATGTGGCCAGAGGGATCATCTCGGCTGCATTTTCAAAGAAAGTAGTCATTTTTTACTCCCAGTTTGGGAATGGAATAATACAGGGCTGGAATGAAGGTGTATGTCATTGAAACCAGCCTCCTGGAATCCTCCCTGAATCCAACGAATTCAATGATTCAACTACAGCCCAGGCATATTCACAAAAGATTACTCAAAAAAAAAAAAAAAAAAAAAAAAAAAAAAAAAATTAAAAATTTCAGTTTTCCAAAGCCAAATGTTACCTGTTGTGTTTCAAAAGACATTTTTCTTTAAAAACTCTTATTTTTGCTGTCCTATTTTTTACTCCCAGTTTGGGAATGGAATAATACAGGGCTGGAATGAAGGTGTATGTCATTGAAACCAGCCTCCTGGAATCCTCCCTGAATCCAACGAATTCAATGATTCAACTACAGCCCAGGCATATTCACAAATTACACAAAAAAAAAAAAAAAAAAAAGATGTGATCTTGTGAGCTCTCGCTTCCTCATCGGAGCAGCCCTTTTCCTCACGGCCAATACCTTTGAAACTAAAAGGACTGTCTGACTGAGTGTTTTGCAGGGCTGATTAATACTTAATACTATGGGGAACAAGCAGCAGGAGGACGTTAGTTAAGAAACAGCCACAGCTTCCTACCTATCGCTGTATAAAACAACAAGAATAACAGCATTTTCTTTTCTGGTTAGCTCAAAGACAGTATTTTTGAAGCATAAACATACCACAATGCTGTAAAGAAATAACAAAAATATTTACCTCATTTATATACATCACTGGGAAAACTAGTGTCCGGATGTTGCCTGTTTCACTGTGTAAAAAAAAAACCAAAAATTATGGGTTTGTAACTTTTCAACTTGAGAATTTTGAAGATAGATTATAACAGAACAATGAACAAGGAAACTATCCCTAAAAAACCTCTGGGCTGTTCCTT